TGACCCGCTTAATTCATCCAAACAAAACCTTGAATGCTTTGAGATTGTGATTCTTGACGGCAATATGAACCGCGGTCTCGCATTAGCTCAAGTCTTCGATGGATGATCTACAAATAGAACGGAATGCGGCCGGGAGCTCTGATTCATTATCCCCTTTTTTGCCAGCGACATAATGTAAAAATTGTAACTTCTAGAAAAAGTGTTGCGACCGTGTTTATTTGTTGCTTTCTTTTATGAGATCACGTAGTTTACCTCTTTTCAGAAATTAAAAAAAAATGAGAAATTTTACTGTGTGTGTTTTGTGCATGTACACTTCGAGTATTCATACTTGCTAATTAGGACTCGACGCTTTACGCTTTTAGCGCGTCATTTTATGAAGTTAAATAAGGAAAAAAGATATTCAAAATCTCGAATCTTAAGCGAGATTAAAGGTCAATAGGAATTAAGTAATTAATGGATGAATCCATTACATCCAACTAATAAGAAGAGTCTTGTCCTTGCAAACCTCAAGACTAGAAACATGGATGATATTGCATACGCCAGAAGAATACTTAAAAGTAAATAATACTTGCAAACTATTTCCGGTCCTTCAATTCTAGGAAGTTGCCGACGCGTCTCCCCGTGCCATCTATTCTGCGCAGGATACTCTTGTATTTTAACCACCAGTAAATGGGCATCCCCAACGCGACATCCACTAAGCACCCATAAAGGAACGCCATGAACATTCCTATGGCATCATAGGATTTCGGGAATCCGATTATAGCTGTAGCAAAGAAGCCAATACCGAGAATCACCGTTAGCAGGAAAACCGGGAGAGTGCGGGGCAACAGGGGAAGAGCGGTGATGCAGATTGTGGCGATGGAGGCCAAGAAAACCAAACTGTTGAAGGCCGTGAACTGGTATAGATTCGAGCCGTTCAGGATAATGGTTCCGGCTTGATGTGGTTTTGCAACAGCAATGCCGCTGGAATTGGCAGCAACGACGGAAGAATTGGCTGTGGGATTTGAAGAGTTATCCCCCCAGTATCCTCCTGGAGGACTGAGCGCGGCTTGGTAAGTGGTGGTCGTAATTAAGGTAGACACTACAAGGATTATGTCGCGAACGGATTCATCTCGGAGGCCGAACCAAGATGTGAACTTCTCAAAGAGAGTCAGTTCCCTGCTTAAAAACTGTGATAGAGAGAGGTTAACAGAACTTGCTACGTATCCTTTACGGCGTAATCTCTTCGCAAGATCTTGATCGCCACTAGGATTCTCTTCGAAGATTTCCGGAGCCGTCTTATTCTTGAGGTTCTTCGCATCTACTTTGATATGCCCAATCAACAGCTTGATGATCTGGAAGAAATGCAAAGGGCACAAAATGAAGTATATATCCCTTGAAGTTCAATTACTGCTTTGTCACTAGCTTTACTATTGTGCACAAAGTCAACTCATGCCATTTAAGTTCGAGGGGATGAAGGCACCACAACTGATAATTTTCGTACGGCGCTCACTTGAGTGTCATAAATTCTTTTCGATCACTTGAGTGTCATGACTTCTAAAAAAAGCTCATTTGAATGTCATAACTTTAAAAAACTTTCACAGAAGTGCCGAAATCGACGTACAATGGCACTTATTATGACTGTTTTTGAAAAAGTTATAGTACTCAAGTGATTAATTGCAAAGTTATATGGCATTCTAGTGATTAGGAAAAAAATTATGTCACTCAAGTAAATGCCATATGAAAGTTATAACACTTAAGTGATCGAAAAAAAAAAGCTATGGCATTTAAGTGAGCGTCGTACAAAAGTTATAACACTTGTAACATTTTTTTCCTTAAGTTCGAGTGATATTAGTGATGCAATGATTGACATACAATGGGAACAAGTTTACTAAACCTTATTTATCAAATCCAATCATTTCATCCCATATAATGAAGTCCCAAATGTTTTCGAAAAGGGCGATTTAGTCATCTCACCCAAAATTATTTACATGATAGCTAGAAATTGTTCGTGTGAATAGAGGTCAAAGTAATATCATAAGATTGGGAGACCAGCCACGTGAAGTCTTTTTTTAATAATTTTATGCAATGGTAGTAAGTTCAACAAGAGAGAGACAGTTGTGCATATTTTAACTAAGAGACAGACCTGTATAAATCAATATATTGACTGTGACAGAAATCGATAAGGAGTTATCAGGACGAGAGAGATCAAATCAACAAATTGTCAACTTTTTCTATAGAATAATTCAACAATGCAATTTTCGTTCTTAATAAATATTACAAATTGATAATACACTTAACACATGGGTATTTCACTAAATTAATTAGTAAAAGATTGAGATTGAAATCTCTAATCATGATAATATATAGTAGTGATTACAACTAAATTATAAATGTGTTAGATTTTTTTCTTGTGGAGGCTTCGATTAGATTTTTTTCTTGTGGAGGCTTCAATACGATCTAACTATTACAATATCCACCTATAATATGTCATATCCCTTCATCAATCAATTTTGTCGGTCGTTTTCTTGTGTTTCCGGTGGATCACTCCAAGCAAGCAAATTTATGGACACTTCTACAGTTTACATGCTGTGCAACTTCAAATGGCAATCGTCATATAGACATTTGTCGATAAATGCTAACACTATAAAATAAACCGTTGCACAAAATGTTGTTCAAATCTCCTCTCTCTACATGTTTCTAAATCCATGTACTTTCAACCCTGGTATTTCATTATCATAACATTTGGTCTTGGATTAGATAATGTCAAATTCAAGGATCAAACAATAAAAGCAAGAACAATCACAAAATCAGTGGACCATACCTCGGGTTGCTTTTCAGACACAGCAATATGTAAGACGGTATTACCATCTTGGTCTTTCCAATCCAAGATTTTTGTCAGATGGACTCGCTTAAGCCATCCAAACAAAACCTTGAAGGCTTTGAGGCTGTGGTTTTTGACGGCAATGTGAATTGCAGTCTCGCATCAACTTGTCAAGTCGTCAATGGATGATTTGCAAGTGCACAAGAATTCAGCCAGGAGCTCCAGCTCATTGGGTTCTTTTTTCCCGATGACGTAATGCAAAGGGGTGATCCCGTATCGTCCTCGGACTCGGATGAACTAGGGGTCGAGGGTCATCAGTGCCCTCGCAGTACGATAATGCTCGTATTGCAAAGCCAAGTGCATGGGGCTATGACCATCCGAATTTAGCTTCCGAGTGAACGACGGCTTCAAGATGGCCATCTCCATGGCCACTAGGGTTTTTCCGCCTGCTGCGACAAGATGTAGAGGAGTATTTGGGAAGGAGTCCTCAGATGCACGATCTAAGAGCTCTTGCTCCTCCACGATTAAGTTATGTAACTCGTTGACATCATCATTTGCTATTGCTAGTTGAAGCCGAGACTCCCTATCCTTGTTTTCTTCTTCTACGGCCGGACCCTTATTTTTTTTTTGGTGTGAATGTAAGTATTATAAACCAGATGAAGTACAGCAGCTTAGGGGCATCCCCCAGCATTACAAAAAGTGCTAATAATTCAAAAAGATAGAGGTAGGAAGTCTCCATATAGTAGCTAATACAACATTTGTCTGGGAAGGTCTAATTTTTTGGTAGAGCGAAGCTCTACCTCTGACATTTTTACGAACCTTAGCCAAAAGAATATGAAAGTCAGTTGACTTGTTTTGAAATCGCCTGCTGTTGCGCTCCATCCAAATGCAATATATGGTTGCTAGAAAGGGCAACTTGAGGAGTCTTGCTGCCAAGTTTTTGCCTTTTGTTGCCATAATCATCCATTGAAGTTCTTCATTCCATCCTCCCAAAAGGCGCCTGATCCCATGTTGTGCTAGGATACAACACCATATGTAGTTTGTCCATTCACACTCGAAGAATTAATGTGTTTTGTCTTCAATACCAGCCCTACAGAAATTACACTGAATATCAACTGAAGGTATCCATTGTGCGACGATTCTTGCTATAGGTAGTCTATCTCTGCAAACTAGCCAACTAATAAAATTATGTTTGCTAATGTCGCTTGTCCAAATTAGGTTATACCACTCCACAGCTGGTCTCACATGTCTGAGTTCATAATATATATCTTGGCAACAGTATTTTGGGATCGGTATAATTGATGTTAGAACGGGTCGCAGTTTGAGGAGACATCTCCAGCTCCAAGTCATACTGCCCTTGATGTCGAGCTGCATAATTGGGGTGCCTCTGCATTTGGTGTTGTGAACCCAAGTACTCCAAAGGGAAGATGATGGAAGATTGATAAGATTCCACAGCATGCGACCTAGCAATACTTTGTTCCATAAGTTCAAATTAGGCAATCCTAATCCTCCTTCCCTTTTAGGTGAGCATACTACTTGCCATGCAACCTTGTGCGAGCCACGGTTTGCTGAATTACCAGCCCATAAGAATTGTCTAATCCTCTTCTCAACCTCGTATATAGTGTGCTTTGGAAGTAGGAACATTTGCATCCAATAGGTGCATATGGAGATGAGGACTGATTTGGCTAACTGTAGACGCCCTGCATAACTGATATGCTTCATGCCCCAATTTTCAATTTTCTTGAAGATCTTATCAGTAAGACTCTTACAGTCTATGTGGGTAAGTCTTCTGGTAACAAAGGGAGATACCCAAGTATCTGATGGGGAGGGTGTTGGCGTGAAATGTCAATTAGCTGATTGTTGTAATATTTTATTTTAGGAATAGATTAGCACCATATTAGAAGGGATCGTTTTGTTATTTGTGAATATCCTGTTACCATATGAGTAGGAGGAAGTTTAGACCAAACTTGTATATGTATCTCTATTAAGTCATTGCAATGATAAGAAGAACGTATTCTTTTCTTCAGAAATTTCTTTTCCTCATGGTATCAGAGCCCTAGGGTTTGATCCTTGGGGTACTGTACATCAATCATCGACTACGGCGCCGTTTTTTGTTGCGGCTCCGTCGTCTCACGCCGGTTGACTTCGTCCCGTCCGATCTTCTTCATCTTCATCTTTCTAGGACCTGCTGTACGCCATGGAGGGACAAGAAATAGCAACAACACAATCTAGTGAAGGATCGACGGCCACAGCGATCCTTGAGAGTCTTACTGCTGCGATGAAGCAGCTTGCAACACAACAGAATCCACCATCATCGACAGAAAATTCTGCCCCTACAATCGCCATTAAGTTCAACGGCATGAACTATGGCTTGTGGTCCCAAGTTGTCGAGATGTACGTCTCTGGCAAAGACAAATTGGGATACTTGACTGGTGACATTCCACAACCGGCCCAGACTGACCCTGCTCTTCGGAAGTGGAAAATTGAAGATGCCACCGTGAAAGGTTGGCTCATAAACTCAATGGAACCCGCGTTGATCGGAAATTTTATAAGATTCCCAACGGCAAAAGCAGTATGGGAGTCGGTGGCAACAACTTATTTTGATGGGACTGATACGTCCCAAGTATATGATCTGAAGCAGCAAGTGTCGCGATTGAAGCAGAATGGATGACCAATTAAAACCTTCTATAACAATCTTCAGGCTCTCTGGAGAGAAATCGATTTTCGCAGACCAAACCCCATGACGTGTGCTGATGATATTGCGAGATATAACTTGACAGTTCAAGAAGATCGAGTGTATCTCTTCCTTGATGGACTAGATGATCGACTCAACAAGGTTAGAGCCGATGTACTACAGATGCAACCATTCCTCACTATAGAGCAAGCATATGCTCAAGTGAGACGGGAGGATGTTCGACAAACGGTGATGCTCTCATCTGGAGAACATGGAATCTCGGGTGGGGCTATGATCTCTCGACATGAGGGGGCAGATTCTCGATTCCGTTTGACGACAAGAGGAACACCGAATCGAGATGTTCGACAAAAAGGAGGTGCACAACAACCTACCACTATCTCTGGAGGGTGTTCTTACTGTGGGAATTCACAACACACGAAGGATACTTGTTTTAAACTCCACGGGTATCCTGAGTGGTGGGAAGAATTACAGAAAAAGAAGAAGGCAGAAAAAGGGGCAGGAAAAGGAAATGGTCAGGCAGCTTTAGTCTCCGGAGGTACTGGTTTTTCATTAGTGCCAGATCAAAAACCAATTGAAGAAGCTGAAGGTAATTCAAGTTGTGTTCTTTCTATCTCTCACATGGATAAGAATGTTGGATGGATTATTGATTCCGGGGCGACCGATCACATGACCTTTGACTCTCAAGATCTTGCAACAACAACTTCTCCAATGCGGGACTGGATTACAAATGCAAATGGTCACAGCTCCAATGTAACTGGAGCAGGGGATGTTACACTCTCTAAATCTATCTCTCTTTCAAATACATTGCTAGTGCCCTCTTTATCAAAAAAGTTATTGTCTGTAGGACAACTTACCAAAGATCTACAGTGTTGTGTTTTGATGTATCCTAATTTTTGTCTTTTCCAGGACATTCGCACGAAGGAGATTATTGGACGTGGTACTAAGAGGGATGGATTATATTTCTTGGATGATTTTGGGTCGAAGTCAGGTCATGTTTTACATACTCAGGGTAATCTTGACAGAGAAAGAAGCTTGGTTTGGTTATGGCACCATCGACTTGGGCATCCTTCCTTTGGGTACTTGAAGATGTTATTTCCTGAATTATTTCGTCATTTTTCAGAGTCATTATTTACATGTGAAACTTGAATTCGGGCAAAGAGTCACCGTGTTAGTTTTCCTCCTAGTATCAATAAAAGAACAAAACCATTTGCTTTGATTCACTCTGATGTGTGGGGGCCGTCTCCAATCTCTACAGTTTCTGGTTTTAGATGGTTTATTACATTTGTGGATGATTGCACTAGGATGACTTGGCTATATCTAATGAAACACAAGGATGAGGTTGCTGCTATATTTGAAAAATTCCATGTAATGATTAAAACACAGTTTGATGTAAAGATTCAAGTACTTCAAACAGATAATGGGGGGAAATATGTGAACAACAAACTTGATGCCTATTTTTATCGGCATAGTATCATTCATGAAACCTCTTGTGCTCAAACACCACAATAGAATGGAGTAGCCGAGCGAAAGAACCGACATATACTTGAGACCGCAAGAGCACTTCTCATAAGAAGTCATGTTCCAAAGAGTTTGTGGGATGCTGCAGTAGTAACTTCAGTGTATCTAATGAACCGAATGCCCTCGCGGGTGTTAAATTTCCGAACTCCATTGCGAAGCCTTGCCGACCATGTGGAGCTTCCTAGTGTTTTGACTCTACCTCCGAAAGTCTTTGGATGTGTGGCTCTTATTCACTTGCATAAAAATCAACGGACCAAACTGGATCCACGTGTAGAAAGGTGTGTGTTTATTGGATACGGATCAAACCAGAAAGGTTACCGATGTTACAACCCCAGAACCAAGAAGATCCATGTCACACTGGATGTTACTTTCATTGAATCTGAGTTCTTTTATCCAGCATCACAACTAAGTATTAGTACCGAGGGAGCAGAGCTGGATAAAAATTGGTGGGATATTCCCAATATACCGTTGCTTACAGTAAACATCCCAGAATCAATACTGCAACCTACAATGGAGAGCAGTATACTAGCGCAGCCCACGGTGGAAGTACCGCACCTTGCAATTGACGAACAGACAGAATCAGGCAGTGGTGGGGTTCAAGCAGAATTTCAGGAGGTTTCAGAACAAACTGATTCGGGAAAAGACCATAATGCTGCTATTGAACAAACTTCTATCCATCCATCTCCCTCTTTAGTACCCGACCAAGCTCCTGCGAATGATCCTGAGGTAACCATTTCTTCTCCACTCTGTGATAATTTAAATAGCTGCAAGACATATATTCTTCATGATAGGCACAACAGGGGGAGGGCACCTGATAGATACTCTCCCGAAGTCAAAAATCGAAGATCCAAGTATCCTATAGCCAACTATGTGTCAACAAGAAGATTATCAAAATCATACAAAGCTTTTATTGCCAATGTCTCAGCTGAGCCTGTTCCCAAGAGAGTGGAGGATGCTATGAAGGATCCTAAATGGATGGCAGCCATGAAGGAGGAGATGGAAGCTTTAGAAAAGAAAGGAACTTGGAGACTAGTAACTCTTCCAACAGGGAAAAAGGCAGTGGGTTGCAAATGGGTTTTCACGATAAAGTATAAGTCGGATGGGTCCGTTGAGAGATATAAGGCACGACTCGTGGCAAAGGGGTATACACAGACATATGGAGTCGATTATAAAGAAACATTCTCTCTAGTAGCAAAATTAAACACTGTGAGAGTTCTGTTATCTTTAGCAGCTAATTTAAATTGGCCCTTACATCAACTTGATGTAAAGAATGCATTTCTTCATGGGAATTTGAAAGAAGAAATTTACATGACAGTCTCACCTAGATATAGGTGTAATGGCAACCCAAATGTTGTGTGCAGATTGGAACGGTCTCTCTATGAACTGAAACAATCCCCCCGTGCATGGTTTGGAAGATTTTGTTTAGCTATGAAGCAGTATGGATATGAGCAGAGTAATGCCGATCATACCTTGTTTCTGAGGCGGCGCAATGAGAAGGTAACTCTTCTCATTATATATGTTTACGATATCATTATTACAGGCAATGATCATGTGGAGAGTACAAGACTCATGTCTAGACTGAATGGTGACTTTGAAACGAAGAATCTTGGAGAGTTAAAATATTTTCTAGGAATTGAAGTAGCAAGATCGGAAGAAGGAATTTTCTTGTCTCAACGGAAGTACGTGCTAGATCTTCTTTCCGAAGTCGGACTGCTGGAGTGCAAACCAGCTGATACTCCAATAATACAGAATCATAAGCTTCACGACAGTCCATATCAAACTAATGTAGATAGAGATTGGTACCAACGCCTTGTAGGAAGACTAATCTATTTATCTCATACCAGGCCTGACATTGCATATGCTGTAAGTATGGTAAGTCAATTCATGCATGCTCCCAAAAAGGATCACATGGATGTGGTTGTTCGAATCTTGCAATATTTAAAGGCAGCCCCGGGAAAAAGTTTGTTTTTCGGAAAGCATGGTCACCTGGATGTAGAAGGTTATAGTGATGCAGATTGGGCAAGAAATGTTACGGATAGGCGGTCAACTTATGGATATCTTACTTTGGTGGGAGGAAATCTTGTTACATGGAGAAGCAAGAAGCAAAAAGTTGTGTCCATTTCGAGCGCAGAAGCTGAGTTCAGAGGAGTTACAAAAGGGATATGTGAACTGCTTTGGTTAAAAAGGTTGATGATTGAACTGGGTTACCCTCCAAGAATAGGAATGAGACTCTTTTGTGACAATAAGGCAGCTATAAGTATCTCTGAAAATCCAGTACAACATGACTGAACTAAACATGTAGAGATTGATCGTAATTTCATCAAAGAGAAGCTAGAAGAAGGGGTCATTCAAATCCCGTTCATCAGATCAAGTGATCAACTGGCAGACATGCTAACTAAAGCTGTATCTGGGAGGGACTTCAAAAGCTCACTTTTCAAGTTGGGTATCAAAGACATTTTTTCACCCACTTGAGGGTGAGTGTTGGCGTGAGATGTCAATTAGCTGATTGTTGTAATATTTTATTTTAGGAATAGATTAGCACCATATTAGAAGGGATCGTTTTGTTATTTGTGAATATCCTGTTACCATATGAGTAGGACGAAGTTTAGACCAAACTTGTATATGTATCTCTATTAAGTCATTGCAATGATAAGAAGAACATATTCTTTTCTTCATAAATTTCTTTTCCTCAGAGGGTATTTGTAGCAAAAGGCGTGTGGTCCAGTATAAGGTGCTTCTCATCCTCATTCAACCCAGAGAAAAAGATTTGACATTTGTTCGGGTTGAAACGCAGTCCTGTGAGAGTTGCAAATTCGTTTAGGGCGTCTACAGGGCAAAGGACGGAATCTACATCTCCATGGGAAAATAATAACAAGTCGTCTGTGAAGCATACGTGTATGATTCTACAGCCGGACCCTTGGCCATTGTTTTGATGAGGGAAATGTAGGAGGAGAGGGGTTTTCTTTTTTTTTGTTTGCTCGGTGATGATCGATGGATGTAGCGAACTTGCAAAGTCATATAGAGTGCCACGGTCAACGAAAATTTAATTAGGGGAGTCAACCATGTACAGGTGGGCCCAATAGTCGGTCGTGGTGAGTGGGGCCCAACATATCTTAGACCAGTGCCTACTGGTCAGATTCTCAGGAAATCGTCACACTTGCAATTTTACGCGCCTCTCTCTCGCTTTCCCACTTTTGCTCTTTCTTTCTTTCTTTCCACTTTTTGCTCATTCGCTTCTTGTTATGTTTTGCAAGATTTGCACGACATGATTTATCGAGAAGGAAAAACTATACTGTGTTATGGCCCGTATGTTGAAGTCGAACCGTAAAGTACTGTATGGTATGCTCTTTCTAAAAACTGGATCAAGCAGTTAATATTTTGTTTCGTCGGTTTGTTACTCCGTTGAAAAATCTTTCACTGAACGCTGCGTTTCGGATTTTATTAGAGGAGACCTGGGTCATGAGTCAAGCTTGGACAGAGAATGTCAAATGCATTTATTAATCCCAATTTAGATCTTACACCTTGACTCGATATGATGTCAAACTCGATAATACTAACTATGCAACGACAACTCGCAAATATTGAAGTTAAGCTATGCCAGAATTTAATCAACGACGCAACTTCAAAGTACGTCAGAATTTAATTAATGACGTAACTTGAATGAATATGGCTGGAATTTAATCAATAGCTATACTCTAAACACAGCGCCGGAATTTAATCGACGACACTGAGCTAGTGGCACAACACTGGAATTTAATCAACAATGCTGAACCTGATAAGGATCCTCGTCGGAATTGAATCTACGACACAGAATCTGAAGACTATGACTAAAAACTACTCCTAAGGTACTTAAGGATAAAGGTTAAATAAGAGATGTGTTGTGTTGTTGAAGAAGGGTCCCTTCTACGTTGGTAGTCCTTGAGTATTTATAGAGCAGCTTGACAACCGTTCCTTGAAAGTCGTTTTCCACTTCCTTACGTTTCGTGCTTTAACTGTTTCCTGACTTGTCGATATTATTTACGCTCCTTGGGCATCACGTAGTAGCTAATTGTCTTCCACGTGTCATTTTATTTCTTGTTATCCTTGACGCCCACGGTCATGTCTTTACCTTTTGACACGTGTAAATGAATTTTTCACCACGTATTACCATGATTTTGCACAAAACTCACGATTCTGAACTTTGTCGACGTCACGTGCAAAGCTCGTGATCTGGGACTCGACGTTACGTGCAAGGCTTAGATTTGTCGACATCACGTGTAAAGCTCGTGATTTTAAACTTGTCGACACCTTTATGACATGTCCTGTCGACAACTGCCTCTGGGCCTGACTCACGGCCTTTCTCATATTTTTGCCATGTGGGCCGTACTTTATATCTTTTGTAACTTGTGGATGGCCCATTCCCACCAAGGGTAATTTTGGGTGTCAACATATGCCCCCTTTTAAAAGGAATAAATTTGAATTTATTTCTTTTAAATGTGTACCTTGTCTATGTATGAATCCCTAGGCGATGATCATGCCTTTCTCTCCTTTGACGTCCTTTCGAGCAGTCTCTACGAATTCCTCATCTAATACCCATTAGACACATCACCTCGTATCTTCCCCGAAAAGTTTTGGCTTTTCCAATCGTCTTCTCCATCTTTTATTCTTGTAAAAACCTTGTTTCATCGTCGCGTCTTCTTCTTTCAACCGTAAAAATCCTTTCTTGAACTTTTTTGATCGCTTCTCATGGCGTCCAAAAAGTCCGAATATTCATCCAGCGATTACATCGCAGCTTTTGATAAGTTTAAAGACGATCCGCATGCTGGTAATTGCTTCTTTCATTTACTGAAAGTTGTCGAGGGTGAATACAACTGTTTTTCTTTGGGTCCCAGTTTCATGGACCATCTCAATATACCTGTGAATCTCCAATTCCACTTCCCGTATAAACACAGTGAGACCTTGGCACTGCAACATTCCTCTATTACGGATGTGTGGTCCACCGGGTCTTCTCGATTTTGAAGTTTCCCTTCTTACGAAAAGGATTTTCACAAATGGTTTATTCGGCTAAAGGCTGATCAAGAAACTCGACTTTTATGGATAGCTGCTGGAATCAACATCGCTCTTGAGGTCAGTATGTCATCTTATGACCTAGAACGTGGATTATTGAGCTCCGCCATCACTTTCTGGTCCTCTTCCAGCAACTGTTTCTTTTTCCCTTGGGGCCACATGTCCATCACTATGCTCGATGTCTTTACCATAGTGGGCTTTGAATTGGTTGGTCATGCCGTCGAGGATTTGCCCGTACTGTCCACTCCCTTCATCTCTGAGGACGCCTTGGCATATAGCAATTTCTTGTCCCGATTTTACCGAGCTTCGGGTCCTGTTACTCAAGATGAGCGTCTTTTTTTCTTACTCTTTTGGCTATCAAAATATGTGTTCTACAGTCCTGCCCTTAAAGTTTGCAAGGACTATCTGCAAATTGTCGTGGCCCTAGCCACGGGACAACGTCTTGCCTTGGCCCCGCTCGTTCTTGCAGTTTTGTATAGAGGCTTCACCCACGCCTCTCGAGCAATGAAGTTCGGGGACTCTGGAACCATTTCAAGCGCTTTTTTGATACTTCAAGCATGGATGGCTTTGTATTTCCCTTCTCTTTTTGGTAAAAACACTCGTCATCTTCCCCATCTATCTTTGCAAGGGTATAGACAACCTATACCTTTACCTCTGGGCTGTCGATTGCTGTGTCGTTCTCCTCGACATATTTCTTCTTTAGCGCCTCCTTTTGTCTTTTATCTTCGGATTCTTCTTGAACTGAATCATGACCAAGTCATTTTCTTTAAGTATGGTCATGGAGAATTTGATTATTTGTTCAATCCAGCTCGATTCAACCTCTATAGGCTTTTTTGGACTTGTGCTTTGTCTGCAATAGATCTTCCCATATGGACTTCATTGAAGGGTCGATTCTATCCCGGGTTTGAGGTATATTCTCCGCAATATTGTGCTAGGCAATTTGGACTCTGGCAAGCAATTCCCATGCCAATTCCTTACTCAATGGGCTTCTCGGAAGGAACCAAGAAGAAAGAATATTCTCTCAAGAATCGAAGCCCACTTCTCTGTTGTATTAAAATTGCCAACACAATGCGTACCCATTATAGTGCGGACCTCTCTAATGTCTTCAGAGCCCATCCAGGACACCTTCCTGAATGGCAGACTTGGTGGTATTCCTTTGCATTTGAGAGTACATACGAAGAGGCTCTCCGGTCTGCAATTGGTCGTGTGAAGAGGAGTGGTCCTAAGAAACCGATTGCTCAAGGTATAGACATCATCACTCTATGTTCCTATTCAATTTCATTCTGGCACATCTTCTAACCTTCCATCTCTTAATTCAGAAGCAGAAAAAGACTCTGATGCAGAGGATGTCGACACTGCAGAAAATCCTACTGATGGTAAATCTCTGTCTTTCTCTGTGCCAGCCCATTTTGTCCCTCTTTGTGTTAGTTGGTTACTTATAAGGTCTTACTCCCTTTTGAATTGTCTTTGGGATAAATGAAGAGGAGACATTGGAAGAGATGGTATCATTATTGAAAAGGAAAAGGAAAAGATCTTCTCCTCCTTCTTCGAGGAAGAAATCCAGCACTTTATCTGTCGAATCGTCTGCTAAGCCGGTCGCATGCGATGTGATTTCTTGAGAAGCTCTTGCTTCTTTGGATAAAAGTTCAAGGGATAACATCTCTATTCCTATTCAGAATCTTGTTACCATCTCGGCATCTATTGGCCTTCCTTCCGTCGAGCGGGTTATCAATCTCTCAGTTCCATCAACTAGTATTTCTCACACCACACCAGCCACATCTACCTTGATACCACCCAGCGACATTGTTACTAGTTTGATGGTATCCCGGGTACAGCTCTTTTCTCAGCCTGGTTTATCCACTCTTATGACCCATGGTAAGCTTTTGTTGTCGTATGGTATATTCTGCTCGTATTGCTTACTTGATTTATTTATTCTTCTTTTCTTCCCAGTCATACCAACTATTGTTTCCACTTTTGCTCCGATCCTTAATTCTACCGTAAGGACCACTGTTGCTCTTAATATGGCTGGACGTGGGACCACCATGCCTGAGACTGGTACATGTCTTTCAAACTTTACGTTGTTTTAAATTTTAATTTTGATACTGAGATATCACTCTGGCTTTACAGCATATGGTCCGTCGACAAGTATTATGGCTCAACGGACCACTATTCCAGCCACTGTGGTCAATCCTTCCACGGTCTCTCCGTCGACGTCTACTCCAGTGTTTGTGACGACTAATTCT